CACTGTCTTATAAAACTTAATGTAAGGTATTATAATGATCCTTTTATTTATCTGCTTCCCCCAAAATCGAATCTGTCTGGTAGGTTCCTTGAGGCTTGGGATCATGACTTTTAGATTTCTCATGCCTAAATTTAGCACATCTACCAATTAGTAGAAGCTCGGTGAACAGCTGCTAAATTTGAATGAAATAACGTATATAGTCTGACAAGTGGGTAAGAAGTTATTAATTCCTGTTTATAAAGTAGATGTACAATTGTTTTAGGATGCTGTAAAATTAGTTTCTGTTTCATGTTTAAACACACAACATTGATGCAAAAAAGGCATTAAATGACTTAATTTCTCTATCATCTGATACACATATCAAGAAGATTTAGGCTAGGCACCAAATAACCTCAGCAGGGTTATACTGGCTTCAGTTAAATGAACTGAACTAAATTTCTATTTAGTCTTTAACCTGATAAACCCATAAAATGCTTATATACAGGTACTACAGAATAGAAAGACTTTTTCAGGGAGGGAAGGCAGATTGGATTACATTATCACTAAAAGATTAAATTACAGCAAGACAAATATAATCTGGCTTAAGATATAAGGATTAACTCCTAAAAGCAAACATCCTTAGATTCTGAAAAATGATAGTATAGAAGTATATTTCTAAGAATATAAAAGGTATTTGAAAATTTAACCTAAAGGCTACAGTATACAGTGACAAAGATTTTTTCTAAGCCTCCCACATTGTGTGCACACATACACACACACAAACACACACAGACACACAAACACATACACACTTTTCATTACAGCAGTTTTGTTGTGTGACTTTTAGACAACTGTGTTATTTCACATCTCAAAGGGGTATCATGTGAGGATAAAATATATACAAAAAAACTATTAAATAACTCACAAGAAAACCATCCTCACCAGGATCCTCATACTATCTACTGCAAAATAAGATATTCAGGAGTAAATGGCCTCCTACAATGCAGATATTGCTTCAGCTTGTAAAGGCCGACAAAATAATGCAATGGTTAGCAAACGAAGATATACACACAGGATAAGAAAAAATGATTTATCATCTAAAGGTCATGTTGATCTCTTTAATTATTTGGGAAATATTATCTGTTTTCCGTTGTCTGGAAGTTTATGTAAAACCTGATGTTATTTTTTTCCTGTGATACGTTTGAAAAAAAATTCTTCAGTGGAGAATGAATCTGGATTTTTCCTCTAGAGAATTTTTCTTTTTCTTTTGATTAAAATGGAAATTACTGTTTTCTATTTCTTCTTGCATACAGTTTAGCTTTCTTTTTTAAGAGGCATGTCCATTTCAACAAAATTGTCAAATTTTTTAGTGTAAAGTTGCTCATAATACCCTTATATTGTCACTTAATGTCTATAGGTCCTGTGTAAATGGTTCCTTCTCCGTTCCATATTGACAAATCTTGCTTTCTCTTTTCCTTTTATTGATTAATAAACACAGTATGTTCCTAGAAAAATGTATTTGCAAGGAAATAAGTAGGCTTCATTGATTTTCTCTGCTACTACTTGTTTTCTATTTATTTCTTTCTGCTCTTTTTCTTTCCTCATTTGATTTGCAATATTTCTAAGCTTCTTAAGACAGAAGGTTAAAACACTGATTTTTTTTTTAGCTTTTTTGCTTGTCTAATAATTGCAATTAAGGCTCTGTTATTCTCTCTAAGCACTATGTTAGCTGCTTCTGACAAGTTTTGATATGTTTATCATTATTATTCTCTTCAAAGTACTTTCTTAATTTGTACTGTAATTTTATCTTCACCAAGAAGTCTTTAGAAATGTACTGCTTCATGATTTGTAGCTTATTAACTATTGTCAGAGAAAATACTCTGAAAATAACCCAGAATACTGTCATTTTTGGAAATTATTCAATGAGCATTTAAAAGTAATATACTGTCACTATTGAGTGTTTTTACAAATATGTTTTTGCCTTTTTTAGAGGAAAATCTAGGAGGATTAGAGGACTAGAGGAAAATCTAGTCTGGGTCACGGGGTAGGTCTATGTTTTACTGTATAATATAATTAAAACAGGTTACCAAATAGGTTATGCCATTTTTCTACCTATACCAACAATGCAAGAGGTACAGTTATTCTATCCTTATAAATATCTGGTTCCATTAAGTTTACTGTCTTTTCTTCCTAATTATTCTATTAAGTCTGAAGTGGCTTCCCGTTGTATGTATACTGACACATTTTCTTTTTCCTTTAAAGATATTTTTTTCAACTCCAGATTTTCTATTTTATAGGTTCCAATTCTCTATTAAAATTTTCCAATTTTCATCTTTTCTCTAGTGCTTCTTCTATGTACTTGAGCATATTAAATAATTTTAAATTTCTTATCTGTGAATACCAGTATCTAGGTCACCTAGGACTGCTTGTGTTGTTTATTTTTTCTCTTGGCTTTTGGAGATTGGTCTTGTCTTTCAACGTACTTTGAAAAATTTTGACTGCATGCTGAATACTGTTTTTAAAAAGTTTAGAGGCCCTACATGATGCTATCTATGGCCGAACAGAGTTCAGTCTTTTCCCTGCTAGGCAGACAGTCCAGACTTCATCATCTTTATGAGTCAGGAAGTCAGCAAAACCAAGGGTGTGTTGCCGTTTTGTAGGGCTTGTTCCATAGCCGGTGGGACCAAATCTTCACATACACTCTCCAGGGCTTTCACCGGTGAGAACATACATGCACTGGGCCTCTCCCCTCTGTGAACCCCATGGGCTCTGAGCTCTGCACTTCCTCAGCACTGCACACTCACAGATAATTAGCTCACTTTCCAGATACGCGTTTCCGTTTACTCTTTGAATTTTCTTCAACTTTAGCAAATGTCCTGAGGAGAAAACTGACCAAGTGTTTAAGACACAAGTCTTTAATTTCACACTTCCATTCCTTCAGAACACCGAACATTCTGCACGTTTCCTTGTTGCCCAACAGTAGCCCCGGACCTGGTACAAACTCCCGTTGGACCAGAACTCCAATTATTTTCAAATGTCCATTAAGTCAGCCACAGATGTTCCACAGGCTCCTCAAACTCACCAGCTTACTTCAGTTTGTTCTTGGGGTCTTGTCTAAGTTAACGATATTGTCATTCATTCAATTATTTGAGCAGACAATTACAATGTGCTTTTGATTCCTTTCTCAACATTAAACCTGACTAGTCAGCCAGCTGAGGTGGGGCACACCTGTACTCCCGTGCTGGGGGTGGGGTGTCGGTGGGGGCAGGAGGACGGCTGTGAGTTTGATGCCAGCCTAGGCTTCACAGTGAGCCGAAGGCCAGCCTGGAATATCGAGATTCTGTCTCAGAAACAAACAACCTCAACCAAACTAAAGAACATATCCAACCTGTCATCATTTATATAGATTTTTAAAGTATTTTTGAATAAATCAATCTTTGTTCCCACACTGCAATTACTGTGATAACAGCACATGCCTTCCTTTTCTATTTTCATAGTTACTCTGCTAAAGAAAGATACACATCAGATCATAAGGCTTCTGCCTTAAATATAGCTTGGTATAGTTCCCCTGCCACTTTTTCACTGAAGTTTAGGTGGCCCAACTTTTTACATTATTTCTTAAACATATCTTATGCTTGCATACTAACTCGGCCATCTGGCAAACTCTAGCTCATCCTTTTGATCTGCTTTTATGATCTCTGCCCTTTTCAACATTGTAATAATTATTTTTTGTCTCTTTTTCTCCATTCATCTGTTCTCTTTTGTTGTTCAGCCTATTAATCACCACCATCACCACAGCATCATCATGATAACTACATGTACTTTTTACTGTATTAAGACAGTTATTATAATCCCAACTTTAAAATTAAAGACACTGAGGCTGAAAATTACATATTCAATAAATAATACAGGCGGGTGAGGTAGTGCACACCTGTAATCCCAGCACTTAGGAGGCTGAGGCAGGAGGACTGCTGCGAGTCTTAAGCCATAGTGAGTTCAAGGCCAGCCTGAACTGCACAGCGAGACCCTGTCTCAAAAAGACCAAAAAAAAAAAATTTTTTTTTTCAATCAAACTTAAGTCCATTTTGTTCTAATCCATGCTATGAACAACTGTCCTATTGACATATTCAGTCTTTATACTCCTGGCATATAATATGGTGGCTGGCATGTAGAATGTTCTTTACTGTTGAAAAGCACCAAAAAAAAAAAAACAATATATAAAGATGTTTGTAAATCATAAAACTTCACAGAAATAATACTATTATTTCTTTCACCCCAACTCTGTTTAGGGCTAAAAGGAAGTATAAGAAATAATGTTGAAAGGGTTACATACATATGAACTGTAGGATTTTAACTATATAACATTCTGGAAAATGAAAGCCATGGAGACAGTGCCCATGATTAGGGAGGATGAACAGGGAGGGCACATCTGATTCTCAGGTTGGTGAAACTACTCTGTATGGCATGTATATGGACACAGATCATTAGACACAGTAGTTATCAAAACTCTCATAATATATAACATTAAGAGTTAACTCTATGTATTCTGGGTAATGATGCAGCACACAGATTCGCCAAGTATAACAAACTGTAACAGAGGCCAAGGTGTGCGTGTGTGCATGAGAAAGGAAGTACATGGGAACTCTATTTCTGTTCACTTTTGCTGTGAACCTAAAACTGCTCTAAAAAATAAGGTATTTAAAAAAAAAAAAAAGAAAGAAACCAGTGGAAAAAATGTGACCATTCATAATAGTCTACTCAGTTCAAAAACAGTTGTAACCAGTTTGGATCCAAAGGTAAGATCATGACTGGATTAATTGCTTTCCTGTTTTGTTTTGGGTTTTTTTTTGCCTCTTGAGGGAGGAAGGTAGCTCGAGATCAAACTCAGGGCCCTGTGTATGCTAATCACAGGCCTTACACCAAGCCACGCTCCCAGCACGCACTGGGTTATTTCTTACATCTGACTTCCGGAAACATCTTATCTGCTAATTTAAGGCTCAGAATGAGGATCAAAAACTTACTTTTCAATTTGCTTCTTCTGCTGTGCCTTTTGCCGTTTTTGTTCCTTTACTTGTTCTCTCTCAATATCCATAAAAAGTCTTCTGTGTCTCAGGTATTGCTTTTGACGCTAAAGTAAAGTAGTTAAATCATTAAAATTCTGTTCTCAGAGGCTTCCTAAGGAAGGAAACTATTCTTATGATATAAACCAGCAATCCCCAACCTTGTTGGCAACAGACACTGGTTTTTTTTTTTTTTTTTTTTTTTTGTCTTTTTCGTTTTTATCGGTACCGGGGATCGAACTCACGACCGCCTGCTTGCAAGGCAGGTGCTTATGCCGCTGAGCTAAATCCCCAGCCCCTAGACACTGGTTTCTGAAAGATAATGTTTCCACTGACAGGGTGGGCGTGGTAAGGTTTGATTTCAGAATGGCTTGAGCCCACCACAGGGTTTAAGTACAGATGAAGCTTCTCAGCTCACCTGCTGTTCACCAGGTGCTGAGCAGCCCTGGTTCTAGACCCTCCAACCCAGGGTCTCAAGGTTAGACAGTAAGACTATATAACATGTAAGTATACATTTATAATAGCTTCAAATAATTAAACACTTAGGAATGATTTTAAGCAAGGAAGTGAAAGACCTCTACTGAAAAAAACAGCACTCTGAAAAAAGAGATCAAAGAGGACATAAGAAAATGGAAACAAATCCTCTGTTACTGGATAAACAGACCAATATTGCCAAAATGGCCATTTTACCAAAACGCTATGTAGATTTAATACAATTTCAATCAAAGCACCAACAGCATTCCTCATAGAGCTAGAAAAAAATAGCCTGAAATTTATATGGAATCAGAAAAGATCCAGAATGGAAAAAACAATCTTAGATTTCTTTTCTTTTTTTTTTTTGGAATTAGGAATCGAAGTCATGATCTTGCACTTGCCAGGCAGGCACTGTGCCACAGAGCTATATCCCCAGCCCTTCAAAAACAATCTTGGACAAGGAGAGGAAAGCAGAAATATAGAATTGTGAATCTCCGGTTATATTACAAAACCACATGAGAAGAACGGCATGGTTTAGGCACAGAACAGACATGTGGATCAACAGTACAAAACTGAGGGCTGAGAAAACAACCTCAGGCGCATTCAGTCATCTGATCTTAGATGAAAGGGCCAAAGCTTACAGCTTGAGGAAAATAGCCTCTCTAACAAATGGTGCTGGGAAAACAGGCTGTGTACATGAAAAAGATTCTAAACCCATATCACTCATCACACAGTAAAATAAAATCAAAATGGATCAAAGATCTAAATGTTAAAGCAGAAACAATCTGATAGAAGATAAAATAGGTTATCTTAATGCTTGAAGATAGCCGCAAAGACAACTGAGATTGGACTTTCTGAACAGAGCCCAAATTGAATGAGAAATAACATCCAGAATCAACAAATGGGATCACATCAAATTAAAGAAGTTCTACACAGTGAAGGAAACCAACAGAATGAAGACACAACCTATGAAATGGAAAAAAATTCTTGCCAACTATTCCTTGCACAGAGATCTAATACCTAGAACATACAAAGAACTAAGAAAGCATCAGACTCCCTCCTCCCACCAATAAAAGAGCCAGAGCAGTAGTTCTTTATCTCTATTTGCACTCTTTCCTCCCTAAGTGCACACCACCACCCCACAAAAGATTCAATGGGCATGAACATGTGCCCTCAGCTTCTTGAACTATCTTTTCAATCTGCTTCATGTTTCAGAAGACACACTGGTGAAGTGAGTTAACAAAAGTTGCACACAATTCAAATAATCTTAATGGAGACCCTTGATTCTAGCTGGCGCTCTATAAATTGTAAACTGAAGGCCAATAAACATGATCACTTTAAGGTGGATAATGAAGAAAATGAGCACCAGTTATCATTAAGAACAGTCAGTTTCAGGGCTGGTGCAAATGAACCGCACATTGTTAAGCAGAGGCATGAACTAGAAAGGCAGGCAAACTAAAGTAACACCTGCCACTCTGAAAATGGCTGCACAGCCAATGGTTTTCCCCAGGCTTTAAAATATACCACCTTGTGTGGTCTTAAGGCTGAAGTGCGGTTCTGGATCTGTGCATTTCACCTGCCAGCACTTAGCCATGGAAGAGCACACAAAGTCGGAAGATGAAGAGGACGTAAAACTCTTAAGGATATGTGGAAAGCAATCTGTTCCTAGAAGTGGTAGTAAGGTCTCACAGAAAATGTAAAACCAGTGCTGAAGATGATAATGACAACAATGATGGTGATGGTGATGATTTTGGTGATGGGGAAACTAAAAAGAAAGCTCCAGAGAAGAAATCTGTAAGATACTCCAGCCAAAAACACACAAAAATCAAACCAGAATGGAAAATTCTCAGAACATCAACAGGAGATCAAAAGGCCAAGAATACTGCAGAATACAGGAAAAAACCCAAACACTTATATGGCAGTTCCATATAAGACATTAAAGCAAAAATGCAAGCAAGCGTAGAAAGAGGAGGCTCTCTGCCCCAAAATGGAAGTCAAATCCATCAATTATGTGAATTGCTTCCAAAAGACTGACGAGAAGGCTATTCAAGATTTCTGGGGCCAAGGATATACTTGCCTGGCAAGTGCAAGGTCATGAGTTCAATTCTCGGTATTTCCCCAGAAATAAAGAATTTCTGGCAGTGGAGGCAGTCTCTTTAAGAAAAGAGCTATTAAAATTTACTGTCTTATTTAATTTCTGTAACTGTTGATATTTGGCCATCCTTTTTATAAAGCAAAGTGAGAACTTTCCCTACCACATTTGATAAATGCTGTCCAGGTTCCACTGCCAAATATATGTAGCCAAAATGCCTGTTTAATTTTTAAAAATGGAACATCACCCTTTGCTTGGTCTTATGTATGTAAGAAATGCTATGATAGGACATAGCAATAGCGGTGGTCAGACATGAAGACAGTGGAAAAACCAAAATATACATGTGAAATAAACTCGGTGCTTTAATAATGTAAAAAAAATTTTTTTAAAAAAATAAGAGAGTCAATCAAAAAATGGGCAACTGAAATGAGTAGATACTTTTCAGAAGAAGTACAAATGGCCAATAAATACATGAAAAGATGTTCAACATCTCTGGCCAGTAGAGAGAAATGCAAACTAAGAAAATGCTGAGATGTCACCTTACTCCAGAAAGAATAACTATCATCAAGAAATCAAATAACAAATGCTGGTGAGGCTGTGGGGGGAAAAGGAACCCTTCCACATAGTGAGAATGTAAACTAGTATAACCACTATGGAAGTTAGTACAGGGATTCTTCAGAATGTTAAAATTGAAATTCCATTCAATCTCTTTTACACTTCTTCCCCAAAAGAGTTGAAAGAACCATATTACAGTGAGACATGCATACCCATATCTATAGCAGCACAGCTCACAGTAGCTAGATCTTGGAAGCTACCTAAACGTCCATCAACAGATGAATCAGTAAACAAAATGTGGTATATACACAATGGTGCACTACTCCACCATACACTTCAGTCATCTGCAGGATAACAGATGCATGCTGAGACCACAATGCTGAGTGAAATAAATCCAATAGAGAAGTTCAAATATCACATGGCTTCTCTTATATAAGAAAGCACAAACACAAGTAATTTAAACAAGAAAATAACAGACTGATGATAAGAAACAGGGAGACAGACTATGTGGACATGGGAAGAGAATCTGAGGATCTGGGGAGATAGCACAGCGGAAAGGGAAAGGAGAGGTAAGAAGGATGAAGGTGTAAGGTTCACATGTAACAATACCACACAATGAGTGTATTTATTATGTGTCACAAACATATACTAATAAGAGAAACTTTAAAATGAAAAAATACAGAAGTAACATTGGACAGTCTTTAATTTCCTTCTGTCTCTGATGACTCATGATAATAACACATACAGTAAGAATCTTGTATTTTTAATTAATAGCTATGTTAAAACAAACTATAGAAAAAAAGTTTTAGTTTGCCCTTCGTACAGTCTCCTCACTAGTACTAAAGAAAATGATTATATTTGATACAGTAAGATGTACATTTATGTTGCCAAGTAGTAGGTAGTATCAAAAGCCAGGGCCATCCTGTTGTGTTTTATTTGATTTTATTACATGAGATGGCATAAACAAATTTTTTGAGGAAAATGACAATAGTCATTGTTCATTTCCTGTAATTTGGTTTTGAAGTCCTGTAATGCTTTCATTCTTTTGAATGGTTTTATAGTATTTTGTTATGTTTGATCTTATTGTGTGTGAAAGTATGCTCAACTATGTCAAAGAAAACAAGCGACATTATGGTAGCTACTGATGACCAGTTGTCTTGTTGTGAGGTGTGGGGTTGCTTGCATTTGTTCTGTTCTGATTTGCTTTGTTCTATTCTCTTTTGTTTTATTTTCTTTAAAACAAAACAAAACAAAACAAAACAAAAAGCCAGGGTTACAGAAAGAAAGTGGGAGGTATTTTATAACAGACCATCCCTTAAATTTTCAAAATTAGAATCATACCACAAAAGCATACTCTGAGCCTAGCCTAACATTCCAGGAAGGACAGGATAATCAAAGGTTATCAGAATATAATACTTATACATGAGACCAGTACAATAAAAGCAAGTGCTAGCATACTGTGTGTAATCTGTTCACTCCTCTGAATTTATTCTTTTTTAAGGACATAGGATGCTCAAAAGGCTAAAGCCTCCATGCTTATATGATGGTATTGTATAGCTTTCTGATAAAAAAAAATTGTTAAAAATCAAAATAGTTTCTCACACTGAGGATGTGTCAGAATTACCAATGGTATTTTTAAAATACACAAATGCCACCAACCTACTTTTCCAGGTACTGATTCAGTACATCTGGTTTGGGTATAGGAATTTACATTTTGAAAAAAGCTCCATGTCTGATTCTGGTACATGGTCAGAGTTTAAAATTAGTTTAAACTAATTTTAAATTGCAAAGGAAGTAAGAAAAAAGGAGATGTAAATATAATATATTCCCTTAATTAAATTATAGTGGAAAATACTTTCTAGTTGGAGAAATTCACTTAGATCAGATCTTTGATTTCACATTAATGTACCCTAAACCATAAAAGCTTAGAAGAAAAGTTCAACACATGCCGTATGAAGTTAAAATGTTAAAAATTGTCACAATAAAAGACATATTGCTATTAACCTTCCCCAAAATACTTCCTATCATTTCACAATTGCATAAGCCATTACTCTTGGCACTGTTAAAGCGGCTCCAAAAGTCCTCTGTCATGAGTCTGGCCAAACATACAGAGAATGCTGCTTCCCAGTGCCCAGTGCCACCCAACAAAAAGGCGAAAGGGAGGTAAAAACACTGATGTGTCCTCGTCCTCTGTGACTCCCAGCTCTCCCCAGGGTTGACAGCACCATGAACACTACGGCTGCTATGTTAGAAACAGGAAGTGAGAAGCACGAGAAGAGGCCAAGAAAAGGCCTGGATGAATAACCGGAGACCGTGGACATGAAGCTGAGGAGCACAGATTTTACTGTTCCGCAATGGGAAATAATTGCAGGTTTCCACTAGGGTAACGATGTGGTAACATTTACCGTCTATAACATTTATACCTTAAAATGGGTGTTTTAATGGAAGGGGAAACCAAAGTTTGGAAATTATCAGCATCATCTCTGGGTCAAGACGAATCTATCTCAGTTTAAACAACAGATAAATTCTATTTTTAGTCCTTTAAAATAAACTCTGCCTTCTCTTAAAGACAAACAAACAAAAAAAGACCATGAAAACCAAATTGAATTAATGTATTAGATAGAAATTTGAATTAATGTATTAGATAGAAGCTGCCATCCAACAGTACAACTAAAGGCCCTGAAGAAACAACTTCCAGAACTGCATCAGAGGATGGCAAGAAAGGTGGGGTACATGTGTTAGAAGCAAGGGGGCATTCCAGTTGTGCTTAATGGCAACGTGTCATTTACTGTGAAAATGTTTTTAATTTAAATATTCACCATAGTTTTTGATCACATCTTGAATTGTAACAACTCAGGTAGAGTTGTTAGAGTTACCTCTTAACCCGTTAAGGCACAGAAAACTTTGCAATGTCATGTCTATCATCACTGACTACTGTTCAAAGCAACATTATCACATACCTCTTTCTTTCTTTCTTCTTTATCTATTCCAGAATGATTGGCCAGTGAAGTTTGGAATTCAGCACCCAATCCTGACTGATACTTATAAACCTGTAGAAAGTTCAGTCATAATTAAAATCATCCTTTTAATGTTTTTATCTATTCTTTTATTCTTCAATCTTGACTTCATTGCATCAAGCAAACAAACAATAAAGCATTCAAGAATAAAAGCAGAAAAGAATGAAAGGAAGAACTTTCAGAAAGAATTAACCATTCGTCCAACCAAACTCTTAAGCTGAAGAAAAGGTGTCAGAGAAAAAACAAGGATAAACAAATAAGCCTTATGACATAGTTGGTACACATACCTGGATGTTATACAGGTCAAATTATGATTGCTAACTTTTAGAAATAAAAGTTTAAAACTGTTTTATCTATTTAAAAGTTATTTACCTTTCAGCAAGGTTATAGGCTATAAGATGAATACATAGAAACCAGCTGTATTTCTAATCTTGTAGTGAAAAATCTGGATGGGGGGGTACTGTAGATCAAACTCACAATCTCGTGCTTGCCAGGCAAGTGTTTGTGCCACTGAGCTAAACCCCCAGCCCCTTGGAAATAAAATTTTAAAATCCACTTATACTACTATCAGAAGAATAAAATACTTAGGGAGTAAATTTAACAAGGGAAGCATAAACTTTATATTCTAAAACATACAAACCATTGCTGAGAGAAATTAAAAGCACCTAAATAAATGGTAAGACCTCTCATCTTCATGACTTGAAAGACTAAGTACTGTTGATATGGCAGTATTCCCCAAACTGATCAATGTATCTAATGCCCAAGGTCAGCCAAGACCCAAAATGTAATGGGACCGCTCTAAAATTTTTATTACTCTGTCACCCAACCTCCCAAACAAGGAGACTGTTAGAACAAAAAAGACTCAATTATAAATAAGAGCCGGCTTCTGAGATAAGGACAGCCCCAGTGTTAACAATCTTTAGCTAGCGTTATACTCCTTCTCCACCAGAGCCATCATTACAGGTCAGAAATCAGCCCAAATCAAAAAAACAAGCAAAAGGCTAAGCAGATCTAGAAAAAGTTTAAATTATCTATCAAAACAAAAACAAAAATGCCCAGACCTATAAATGGGTTGGTACTATTTTTTTTGTTGTTGTTGCTGTCGTTTTTTGAGACAGAGTCTCATTATGCAGTTCAGGCTGGCCTTGAGCTCACAAGTGCTAGGATTATAGGCATGAGCTATTGTGCACACTGGGTTGGTATTCTTTTCAGAGAGGGATGAGTGAATGGGTCCCTTTATCCCTTGGTTTCCACCCCCTCAAAAAAAAGTATAAATATATCTAACACCAAATTATAACGTACTTCATTTCTTAAAGTACTCATGCCCCTCTTTCAAGTGTGTCCTATCATCTCTATCTGCCTAGTAACCCCTCCTTGTGCCTTTTTCTGATGTGTCCTAAAAATAATTTTTCTGCAGCAAGAGTCAGCGAGAATGCTATAGAAGATGGACGAAGCCTATGAAACTCTCAAACCCAGCGCAGATACAGAACAGCACACATATTACCTAAGGTGTCTTTAAACAGAAATATCTTTACAGCAATATTATGTATTAATTTGTTGACAAAAATGTAGCATAATGATAAAGTGCTTGCTTAGCATGTGTGAAGCTCTGGTTTTCATCTCCAGCAACATAAAAAAAAAAAAAAAACCTAGTTGTTTACATAAACAATGAATAATCCAAAAGGACATTTAAGAAAACAGTACATTTATAATAGTATCAAAAGAAATAAAATATTTAGCAATAAACTTAATGAATGAACGAGGTACAAGATTTACTACCAAACACTGCTGAAAGAAATGAGACACTATTAAGTGAAAACATGTCCTACTGTCATGGATCAGAACCACTGTTAAAACTTAACTACTGTAAGCCAGGCGTGGTGGCTCGTGCCTATAATCCCAGGAATCCAAGAGGCAGAGGCAGGAGGATCCTGGTGAATTCAAGACAGGGCAGGGCTACAAAGTGAGCTCAAGGCCAGCCTGAACTGCACAGTGAGACTCTGTCTCAAAAAGGCAAAAAACCCCAAAACCTTAACTACTCTAAAAGAGGAGAGCAATGATAGATACATTTTCTTACCCAATCTATTAAGGGTCACAGCCAACTTCTGTAACAAAAGACAAGTTAAAAAAAAGAAAAGAAGGAGCTCGGGATTTAGCTCAGCAGCATAAGCACCTGCCTTGTAAGCAGGCAGTCCTGAGTTCGATCCCCGGTACTGATAAAAAGGAAAAAAAGAAAAGAAAAGAAGCCGGGGATTTAAAGACATAAGTGCCTGCCTGGCAAGCAAGAGGTTGTGGGGTCATAAGTTCAATTCCCAGAACCAAAAAAAAGGAAAAAAGAAAAGCAGACAAAAGTATTTAATCAAAGCACAAAAGCCTTCAGAATCAAGACCTAGAATGAACTATTCATTCCTTTGCTTGGGGTAAATGAAGGACAGACATGTAGAAATGATTAAAGAGGATGACCTAATGCTAAGATACTGAGAGAGGAAGCTAAGAAAGACCTGTCTGTTCAGATTCTCCTGGGTTATTCTGCACAGCATTTCTCCCTTCTGCACAGGATGGAGGACTTATGACTTGCGGTAAGACCAAGTATGTCAGAGAAATCCCTTATCTCCACCTCTAGGACACACAGGCAGAGAAAGATTAGAGGATTATTTTTAGGCTCACTGACTTGCTTTGAGCAACAGTGATTCTACTTTCTGTGACTCCTCTTGGGAAAGAAAAATCTTAGTTGGCTTGTTTGGGGTTGCAGAAAGGGGAACAGATGACAGAAGGACACAAAAATTCAAAGAAAGTTGGTTTTTTTGTTTTGTTTTTTGCTTTTTTTGTACTGGGGATTGAACCCAGGGCCTTCACAGTGAGCTGCCTCCCAGCTTTTCTGTATTTTGACTTTGAGGCAGGGTCTTGCTCAGTTACCTAGGCTAGGTATGTGTGATCCTGTTTCATTCAGCCTCACAGAGTCCCAGGACTATAGACATCTGCCACCACACCTACCTAAGGCTGACTTTTCTTTTTTTGGCTTGCCTCTGAGACCCAAAGTGTGATACTTTGGGGTATCATTTTCTGAGCCCCAACAGAACCTAAAGCAGTAATTCTTATCAAAATTCCAATGGCATGTTTTCACAAACACTAACAACCTTCATCAAATTAATATTGGTTCTCAAGGGACTACAAAGAGTCAGATAATCTTGAAGAAGAAGGATAATACTTCTTGATTTCAAAACTCATTACAAAGCTACAATAATCAAAGCAACATAGTACTGGTATAAAGACAGGCTGACTTATCAATGAGCTAGAACTGAAGGCCAAAAAGTAAATGCTGACATACATGGTAAAATGTTTTTGACAAGGGAGTCAAGAACACTCAATAGAGAAAGGACAGCTTCTTCAAAAAAGTGGTATTAGAAAAATGGGTATTCAAATGCAAAAGAATAAAACTGGGTTCTTTTCATACACCACACACAAAAACTAGCTCAAAATGTGTCAAAGACCTAAACAGAAGAGCTAAAACTATAAAACTCTTAGATGAAAACAGGAGAAAAGCTAAAGGACACTGAATCTAGATCTTGCAATTTCTTAAATACAACACCAAAAACACAGGTAACAAAATAAAAAATAGAATGGGAAAGGGACCAAGAGATAGAGGAAGAGGGGAAGGGAACGGAACATGAAAAGAATTGAGATGTATTATGCACATGTGCCAACTCATGATGAACATAATCATATGTACTGCAAACATGTACTAATAAAAATTTAAGAAATTAAAAAAATACATTGGACTATGTTAAAATCAAAAAATTTTTTTTCACATTAAAGACTATCAATGGAGTAAAAGGCAACTGAGGAAATCAGACAAAACATTTCAGAATCATGTGTCTAATAAGGGATTAGTATCTAAATACATACAGAGCTTCTACAGTTTAAAACAAAACTGATTTAAAAATAAACAAGGGCTTGAATCAAATTTCTATAAAGAGGGCAATAGCCATATGAGAAGATGCACAACCAGTAATCATCAGCAAAAGTGCAAATCTAAATCAGAATGAGGCATCATGACTCCTTTATTGGGATGGTTATTATTTAGAACAAACCAGAAAATACCAGACACCAGACAATAACAAGTATTGATGAAGATTTAAAAAAATTAAAATTGAACCCTTGTGCAACACTAAAAGGTATAGTCACTATGGAAAAGCATATGATAAGTCCTCAAAAACTTAAAAATAGAATTCCAAGCCAGGTATGGTAGTGCACACTTGATCCTATGCTAGCATTTGGAAGGCTGAGGTAGGATGATTAAACAAATAAAAAAATACAATTTCCAAAAATAAATGAATAAAATAAAATTTCCATGTGATCCAGCAATTTCACATGTGGGTAAATACACAAAAGAATTTAATCCAGAGGCTTGAAATAGTATTTGTATTCCTGAAGCTGATGAATGGCTTAACTTCCTCATAGCACTAGCTAGTCTGTTCCAGTTTCTGTTTTGCCTCATTCCCCAAATAATTCATTGCCTTCATTCCCAAAATAAACATAAGGGCAGACTTGCCCGGAAAAAAAAGGATAAGGAAAAACATAAATAACATCAGTCAGATGTAATCTTCATCAGTCTATTTAGGTTCATGTGAGCCAGGAATGTATGAACACCAGGTGAGTTGAGAGCGTCTCAAATTTTCATTGATTACTGCAAGCACTGATGACCATTCCCGTGTCCACCTGTGTCTAGGATCTACTGCCAAAGACTGGATTCCTCAGAAAACCCATGGAAGCTTTGTACCTGGCAAGACGGAATCAGATGAAAACCCTTCACCTTCCTTTACCCCGCAGCCATTAACAGACCTCTTTTGCCACTGCCCTGTCCCTTGAGTGACATCAAGAGATGATGAAGATGGCTTCATCAAGAGATACTAGGCTGGTCATGTCACAATTGTACATCAACACTAGTGACAGTGTTACATATAAGTAAGGTGGAAACAATTCAGGTGTGCATCACTGATGAGTGGATAAACAAAACAGTATACACACGCATG